CATCATTGTAACTTTTGTATTGTTAGCCAGGTATGGCTGAAAGGTCAATATAATAAATATATAGAAATATGTATAATGTTATGAAATTTAAGCTATTTAGTATAAACATTTATGTTTTTGTGTTGTAATTTGTTGTCATTCTAGAACGAAAATGGCATAATTTATATTTATTTCCCAATTTTTTTTAACACGGTTACGAGATCGGTTAAATTGACCAAACCCGTACAGAGATTTGTTATGGAAAATAACAGCTTCTTAAACATTTGAAAACTATCTGGACATTATAAAGATTTTGCATGTGAAATTTGAAAATTTTCTGATGTACAAAGGTATTTTTAATCTTAAAATAAAAATTACTTTGCATGTTGTACAGGCACAAATAATGGCGATCATGTACAGCATCATTTGAAAGGCAATATTATTCATGCTAGACCTAGATATATTTCTTTGCAGCGAAGAATTTTATGAAATCCTAAGATTATCTTAGAACATGAAAAGTTGCTTCCCTTATATGTAATTGTAAAAGATGACCATAAAAACTGCAAAGCAAAATGTGAAACCACAAATTTTCAGATATCTTCGCATGGACCCAATGAACCTCCATACCAAATTTGGTGAAGACCCATCCACAGGAAGTGAGGTAGTGGAGAAAAATGCAAAAACTCCCATAAAAACTGAATGTTTGCATATATCTTCCCATGGATCAAATGAACTTCCATATCAGATGTGGTGAAGGGGACCAAGTAGTGGTAAAAAAACGGCCATAAAAAATGCAAAACTGAAAATTTGCATGTACCTTTGTACCAATTTTGGTGAAGATCCATCCACACCTTGCGAAGTAATTACTTGGACATACCACAGGCAGTACTATTATATTTATATAGATAAATCTCCATAGAAATCTTTTGATAAATATTATGTGATAAATTTTACCAAATTTAAAATACTGGGCCAGTGTAGTTTTAAAACAAGTTGGTTTTCCCAACAAAACTACCAGGAATAGTTAGATATGGATTTATGAGCAATAAAAGCAAGATGCAAACCTTGCCAAAGTTTATTTGACATCAGCAATATGGGATAAACAGCTTTGTGTAGTCATATGACAAGCAAGAAAAATGCAGAAAAGATGAAGACATTAATTTAAAGGTGATATCAAGCAACAATACTACTGTCTACATCTTCAAACAATCTGAAGACAAAACATCCTATTTAGGATTAGTTCCATATTTCACTTCCCTACTGAAGCAGAAAATCCCGAAATCTGTTTCATATATTATTTTGTTTAAAAGCTTGAATACAGTCCTTAAGATGACAGTGTAGCAGTCATGCTTGCTTTTGGGAAGAAAAACTATCTGCACAAGATGCATCCAATCAGCATTCTCAGTACATACTACTGCCTCTGATCTATTTGACAAGCTGTTCCCTGTCATCACAGACCTTGTTTCTAAGAATTTCTTGCAGATGCCCATGGATGGCCCCAATATTAATTGGAAATTATGTGAAAGCTTATCAACTGAAGCTAATAAGCTGAATCCAGAAACTCTTGTTGCAAGTTGGATCTTGTGGTTTTACACAGAATTCACAATATGTTTAGATGGGTGTAAGTTAGCTGACTGAAATGTTGAAGAAACTCTGGCAAATTTGTTTTTTCAAAGATTCTCCAGGAAGAGCTGATGACTTCAAAAATGAAACTGGATGCTTGAGCCTTCCATCAAATTTTGTAAGTACCGATTGGCTGGAGAATGACGGTGCTTTGGAAAAATGTTTGTCCCAGTTATCTTATCTTATCTTTCAACATATGTGGGTGTGCACAAAAACACAACAAAATTGGTCCTATGAAAATATTTGTGAAGCTGTTAATGCTCATCTCTTCACCTTCAAAACAATTGTTTTTGTTTTTTTTGCAGTTGCTTCAAAATAACTGGTAAACATTACTTGACCACAATGTGTTGCAAGCCTGTATTTGGCAGACCTAAAGATTTTAAAGGAACTTTCCAGAATTCATACTGATTTTGTTACAAAAAAAAAGTCCTTAATAATTTAAAGAGGGGCTTCAGAATTTATTCAAAAGTCAGCATTAACTTTTAGCTTGGTAAGAAACATGAGCTACATTAATCCAGAGGAGATACTGTTAAATGTATCATCGAATGCTATTCTGTTTTTTTGTTTTTTCTTGATGAAAAAAGTCTGATAAATGCAGGCAGAATGGAAGAATGGGACTGTGACTATTCTCAGATGGTACAAGGAGTTTATTGGGACATCCCTGCAATCGTTGAATTCAAAAGTTTATATGCTTCAGAAGAGCAGGACAAACAGAATAATTTATATTTCTATCTCCTGTCAGACAAAAAATAAAGACAATTCCCGATAGTTTGGAGGGTTTGCAAAATTCTCTTTTCCCTGTCTTGTGGACAAACCATTAACACCCCATAACAATAAGTGGTTAACATGCACCATCCAGTAATCATAGATGCTTTACAAATAACCTGCTTAATGGGAAAAATGCTTAACATGCTAAGATTCAAGCCACTCTCCTAGTTGCAAATAACAAACTTAACACTCCCCAGTAATGTTCCAAAAATTTAGTTCTCATTAACATATAGTAATAATAAGTCCTACAAATAATCTGCTTAATGTGAAATGAATATAATTTTGTTACATTTGAGCCAATCTCTTAAAAATGTGGCATATAGCAAGCTTAACACTCCCCAATAAATTCCAAAAAGTAGATTGACAAACATGACTATAATATAATAACCAAATTAATCCCTATAAATCTTGAAAATGGTAAGCTTAACATAAGCCAGTAACATTCCAAAAGTTAGATTTTTAATTAAAGAACATGATATATTAATTCTGTTAGGCCCACAAATAATTCACTTAACATGAACTGTACTTAAAGGACATCAGTCAGTCTTTTTTCTTTCTGCATATTCAATGCCAGAAAAGAATAAAATTACTTGTGCTGTCATTTTTATTACAGTGTGCTTAGAATAGGATTATATTGATGAACTTTTATTTCATTTTGTAGAAATTATTAAACATTAAAGAAGCAAATGACTGTGACATCACAATTGTGAAAAAGAAAAGACTCTTTAGACTAACCATATATCTGTGAAGCTGTTTGCAATAATGCTTACTATAAATCTGAATTTATCAAGTGTATCTTCAAGAAATATGGCAAGCATTTAGTATATGTTACAAGTCTGTTGTACACAGAAATTCAAGTTTTTAATAAAGTATTTAAAGTCAATTTGCTAAAACTGAAAATATTTTATTTTAGTCTTCATATTTCTTTTATATAACCACTTAAATAAATAAGTTTTTTCAGAAAAATATTCTCATTTTTTATACTCTAATATTAAATTTAAACAAAATTATCAATGTATAGTGAAGTGAAAAGTTAAAAAATATAAAACAAAATGAATACCTTTTTGTCTTCTTTGAATGCATAATTTATTTCAGTTTTTCAAATTAGTTAAACTTATCACGTTTTTTTTTTAATTTTATTGTTTCATCACTTATAAAGGAACAATTTGTTTTCCATCAAAAGCATTAAATCTTGGTGGGAGTCCATTAGGTATTTCATTTAGACAGCATAGCACGTGATCTTTGCATGAAGCATAAGCTAATTTTTTCTCCTACATTTGGGGGCTCCACCATAAAAAAATACAAACTAAAAATATATACTTTTCAGTTGTGTTTTTGAATATAAAGAGCACTAGAAGAGAATGTTCCAAAACTCCTTTAAGTTCTCTGGCTTTCTAAGTAAGCTATAAATAGATGTTCAACAGGATTATCATGTTTGCATATAAACTTTGACAGACTATTATTCTATAGCTGCTAAAATGAAATAGCTGTAATAAGTTTGTGTTTCTAATTGGTTGGAACTACAGAAGCATATTATTGAAGTTAGCAATTTTTGAAACTGAGATTTTTAAATATTTAATTTGAAAGTAACAAATTAAAACTTAGTTTATAATTCAATTTTTTATGTTATCAATGTTTTAATACCATATTTATTAACATACTTTGATAATAAAATGGTCTAAGTTTTTTAATGTAACTGCAAAAGGCTATGACATGCACTTTTACCTAATTATAGTGATATAGTTAAATTTATAGACAGTCATTATTCAATTATGTATTTATGATACACGAGTGATAATGAGCTATGTACACTAGTAGACAACATTCAACCATTTCCGTTCTTGAAATGCTGACTAGAGTGGAGGAAACTGGTTGGCAGTAATTGCTGCCAACTTTTTTGTTGTTGTGCTGCATGTACCATGATTTGAGGAACATTGTACCAATTGGTCCATCACTTGTAATTGATTAATAGGGCTGTTAAGTAATAAATTACTGAATACCACTAATCTCCCAGCTTTCCATAACAGTTGTCATGGTTTAATTCCTGGCCATGTTTCACACCTATCTATGGATAGGACAGTAAGGAGAGAAAGATAAGAGTTTCAAAAACTGTTATACTTTCTTAACTTCTAAATTTGTGATTGTAAGTATTCTTGGTTTAAAAAAAAATGTTAAATACTATTTTACACTTTGTTGTATTTTGTAGTTTTCAGTGCACTAATTTTTGTCAGTCAACAGTGAACAGCTGAGAACATAGTAAATCATTCCTTGACTAAGCCTAGGTCTGCAAGAATGGTCTGGCAGGTTTTAGAAGTTTTTATTATGTTGTTTAGCAATTCTCTGATGTCTTCAAGAAACATAAAAATTTGTATTTCACCCAATGCATGTGGTCCCAAACACACTGTTCTTGTTTACATGGGAAAGAGTCTTTCTAGAAGATAATGCTGATGGACCATCTTGTGTGTGAAGATTGTAGAAACTATACCTCATGTTGATGAGATAAAAGTACTGTTTGTAGTAAAACTAAATTTGAAACATACCTGGATTAAAAGCAGCATTGAAGTATAACAGTTTATTTTAAAATTGATATTTTGTTGTTTTTAACAATAAATATGTATGTGTATTTACAGATTCTTAGTTTCATCATTATTAGAAATGAGTCCAGGAAACAGAATAAAGGTAGGAATTTCCACCTAAAACTTCAGATTTTGTCAGTAATTGAGGTGTAAATTACTTTTGTTTTTTACGTGTATTTTTGATATAATATTCTTTTATATACAAAGTAAAATTGAGAAAAACATTTAATATTTGCAATGGAAGAAAATTTAATCATGTATAATGTCATAGTTCATGTTAATAATTTATTTTGCTTTGATATAAAAGAACATATTTTTCCAATATGCATGTGTTTTGTAGTTTCTTTAGCTAAATGGAACCTACAGTTGTCAGGCTCCACCAACAAAATTTGTAAAGTTTTAAAAAGTATTTAATATGAAGACAATATAAAAAGTCAATTGATATAAAAAACAAGGATATGAATGTACAGCTCTGTGTATTGAGATGATAAGCTTATTAAAATACCATGTAAATTTCTACTGTAAATGGCTTTTTTATATATAAACAATGTAATAACTGAGTGATGTTGGAATTGGTTGAAATATTATGATCAATGTTTGGCTCATCAGATCAGTTACTGATTATAATTAGTCACTGACATTTTTTTTATTTTTCAGTAAATTGAAATATTGCAAATATGCTATGTTTGTTTTGTCATTTTTCTGTCTATATATTTTACTGTCCAGGATAAATTTCTAACAGAGAAATAGAAAACATTCATTTATTGTTGTAAAGCAGTTATAGTTAACCTTTATATGAAGTCTTTGTTAGTACAAAGCTATTGTGTTTTAGATTTTATATAAAACAATGTCAGTGTACAAGTTAAGATATAAATGTTAAAATCATCTGGTGTTTTTAGCATAAACCACTAAAATTTGTATCATAGAGGTAGAGAAAAATGCACATATTAGCAAGATTTTTGAACTTTTTTTTACAGCTTAATAATTACCATAGATAAAACCAGCTTGTAACATTAGAAGTGTAGAATTTAAGGTTTCTAACTTATAAGTTATGTCAATGAGTGCCATAACCATAAGATTCAGTCAAACTTCAAGCTGATTTGTACTATTAAAATAATAATTTAAAAAAAGTTTAATGAACTCCTGAAATAATCACATTCATAAATATGAACTTTCATCTATGTCTCATGTAACACATTCTCCAACCTTTGTAAGAAGGCTTGAAGTTGAAAATATAACTGCTACAAATTATTTTTCATGAAAAAGAGCAAAAATTAGTGTGCATGAAACAAACATTAATTTAAACATCTTTTTACTGTGATATTACATATAGGATATTAATAGAAATATACATTATTAGGTCTTTAAACCAGACAAAAAATAACATTATATTAATATCCACATAAGTGATTGTGTACACCATAATAAATAGTAATTTAGCATATGTATACAATATTAGTTGTTTATTGTTGAATCTATTACAAAGTGAAATATTTATTTTGATTAATTTCAGGTTCTGATTCCTCTGTTAAAAGTGATTCTTTGTGTTGGCTGCTATAAAAATGCTATAATTGGTTAATATATGCTCAGCTATTGCACTGTTTTCAATTCTTCTAAATAATGACATCTGAAATATACTCTTTAACTTGTAGATTGAAGAACCTCGGATATTTTTAATCTGTCATCCAGTTGGATGTTAGTAGCTGAAGCACTGATAAAAATCAGTAATACAGTAATTGAAGTTTGTGTAGTTTGTCTGTGAATTATTTTTATGTGGTGCAGAATTAATTTCATTAGTTACATGAAACATTCATTTGTGTTAGGAGATTCACATTGTATCATTAGAAAATTAGTGTAAAGTTGTATTGTAGACTTACAACAAGTTTCTTATAAAAGATCAAATTATAGTGTACATAGAAGAATAAGAACTAACAATATTGCTGAGTTTAAAAAACAGGTAGGTTCAAGAAATTGGTTTAACATAAAGATATGATACCCTATAACTTGAGCACTGTAGAAAGGTGGACTTTTCTTTTTCAAGGCCAAATTGGGAATCAATTTACCTCTGAAGAAGAAAGGTCCACCAGATGAAAGCACTTGGGTTACAGGATATCAGTTTTTGTGTTTAAATATCCTTAATTCATTGTTATTTCCCCCTCTAATCTCTTCACATGATATCCAAAGCCAATCAACCATGCACAATTATGACTTCTGAGAATTGTTTAAACAGCCCAAAAGCACAGAAATCCCTGAAAGATGTGCATAAATTCTATAACATAAATGTCTGTTTGTACTTGCATCTTACAAAGGAAGAGGGGTGATTCTTTATATAAGTGATGAACTGCAGTAGGTTGAAGCCTTATGGGCTTCATTCAGGGATTTTGAGGATATAAAATTTTTAATTCGAAATTGTTATAGGCTGCCTGATCAGAAATATGTATGATATCAGAATTGTTAGTAATAAGATTACTGATGCAATAATTATTGGAGACTTTTCTTTTATACACATTGATTGGTAATGTATGGTGTTAAATAGTGAGGGAGAGAGATTTCTTAAAGTTATGCAGGATTGTTTTCTATATCAAATAGATAGCCATTTAGATGGGATGGTATTTTAGATTTATTGTCAAACACTAACAAGGATATGATTACAAACTTGTCAGAGTTGAACTGGGAGAATATTTGGGGAAACGTTGCATTGCACTTAGGTTTGATGTATTTACTACATGTTGAGATAAAAATAAATGAAATTTTAGTTCTTATTTTTGAAAATTCCAATTTTGAGGCCAATATTAATAAATTGAGATAATGAATTAAAAGGTAATATCAAAAAGATTTGGGAAATTTGAAAAAGCTTTAAAATCAAGATAAGCATATTTTTAGAAAGAGGAGAAGAATAACAATCAGTCAATCATGCTGTCCTCCCCATCAAAATCTCTATCAGCTTTCACTGAGATCTAATAATATTCCCAGAGTAGTGCATTCTGTTTCCTACATGAGCTTAGGAAGTGACTTTTCTTTTTGTCTTTGCACATTTCAATACCTCATCATTAGTTGTTCTTTTTATTTAGCTGATCTATGTCATTCGTCTATAACACAACATTTCAAATGTTTTCAACTGTCAGTTTGTTTTAGCACTTTATTCTAACTTCCCAAAGGTAATTAAGAGCTATATAGTGCAGTGGGACACCCAGTCTATTTACACATCTGATGTGTGTTAGTGCCACTGGTTAGGTGCATGCCAGGAGGCTGTTATGAGGAAAGTTTTAGATGATCAAACCTAATTGGCTTACTAAAGACATGAATGAGAAAATCAAAGATATACATCATAAAGTTTAAAACATTGACTACTGACTTGGGTTACACTTATAGTGCAAGGTGTCCCAGATTTTGCCACTACAAGTATACTTGTTGAAAAGATTACACCATTGTAAACTGAAAATGCTGGCATCACATATAATGCAACAAACAATCTGCTGGCAATTTGGGGAACATAAATCTACATAATAATCATGATCAAATTTGTATTGTATCATTATTTGCATTATTGAAATTCACTAAAGTAAGCAAACATATCTCCATAAAGCTCACGTCAGTGCAACTAATACTAAAGAAGAAATGGTTACAATGCAAAAATAAATTATGATAACCGAAACAGGCTTGTTCTACATGATCCATGGCATTGCTTAATCAGGTCTGAATTAATAAGCAATTGATGATCAATAAACATTTTAAAATTTTATGATTTTATTCTTTCAGTGTTTCATGAACTAAAAAGTTCTCATATCATAACCAAATGACAAAAATTAATGTCTTCTTGTTTCTCTGTCCATTATTGAGACACGTGGTACTCTTTGAAACATTTATCTATAGAGAGGGCTGGTTTTTCAGGGCAGACATCATAAATGTATTGGATTGCTTGTCTCCTACCAGCATTTGTATAGACACAACATGGTTTGTTTGGCTTCTCTTTCTTTTCTGTGGGTGGCAAATGTGATGTAATGAAATGATTCAACTGTTGGCAATGGAATTGGGGGTGCATGTTGCTCCTGGCCTTGAAGATGGTATTACCTAGCAGATGAATTGTTACAAATTCACAACAATTCAATAGTTTCATATCCTGGCCTCTATTTTCATTATAGAGGATGTGGGCATTCAGAATAAATGTCTTTATGATATGAAGGGTAATATTTTTAGTACCATCGTATTGTCTTATGTAGAGCTGAGTAATACAACAATATCTGGTCAGATCTGTTTATCCTGGGCATGTTATTGTTGTAATCGCCGATTATATTGGGTTTCTTCAAAATTTTATTATTCCAATTCACGATATCAATTATCTCCACTTTGTGCATTTTGCTTATTGTGAGCACTTCCCGTTTGACCTGTTTACAAACTACTACTGAGTCTAATCCCTTCCATTCATTTTCCCCCTTCTTCAACTTTTTATGGACCACATCTTTTCGATTTTCTTTTTGGTCAAACTACAGTGTTCCACATATGTAGGAATTGTAATAATTATTTGTGTACACAACATGACCTTTGTCCAGCTAATCATCCAACAGATCAAGTACAACAGCTGCAGCCTGTCTCAAGCCTGCATCATAATCAAGTTTCAAAATATATGTGAATTTTCATCACCATGCATTGAGATTCGCATAGTTCATAGTTTGTTTCCATATTTGTGATATATTGTTTAAACAAGAGACTGCCACACCAAAGTACCACAGACTTGTTGAATTGCAAATCCTCTCTTTGATAGTAAATATGGATCATTTCATAATTGAAATGATCCATTAGAAGTTATATGTTATACAAACCATCATCATGAAGTTAGGAATTGTCTGTGAAATGCCAAAAACATATGAGCATTTGAAAGCAGTTGCAACTCATCACACCACTAAAACACGTCTTGTATAGAATATCAGTACTCCAATAGTGCTCCAAGGTAGGTAGGTTGTTTGAACCTATGTCAATCCACAAGGCAAGAAAATTTTTATTTTCTGTTCATCTGGGTCCTTCCAGTATTTAGACGTGATTCTCTTCCCTATGGTCGCTGTTTGTTGATTTCAGCTGTCGTATATTGATCTGTTTGTGTGACCATGATATCTGAATTATAAGACCAGAGTTGTCATTGAAAGCAAAATTGGGTTGATCTTGTGCAACATTTGATTAGTTTTGTAATGTGACACCAGGGTTCACACCTGAACTCTAACTACTCCTCTGTCCTAAACAGGAGTTGCTCTTCTATCACAAACTGGTGTAGTAGAACCACATCCACCATCTCTTGTCTTACCTCTATGACGACGTGGTCCTCTGGTGCGGATCTCACAAACTCTAGGTCTTCCACATGCTGTCGGTACTGCATTGTCGTAATTTGAAAAATAAGAGTGTGATGAAACCATTGGGTGGCCACCATCATTAGACTGATTATCACTGTTATGATTGGTCTGGATTTCCATCTGAACATTACTATCATCTGAAGAAATTGCTTATAGATAGATAAAATTTGAATTTGCACATGCATATTTGGCTTTGCATATTGGTGTAGTGTATACTATAAGAGTTGGCAACCAACATGTTAAACTGATAGATGTGATGGAATGTTTACAGAACTATAGGAAAGCTGGTGATTTAGTTGAAAAAGAAATTAGAAAATCAGAACTGGTTAAGAGGTAAGTCGAATAATATTTATGTAAAAACTAATAGCAAGGATCTTTTCTTAAGGATGTTAAAGGTAAGAAAAACCTTAAAATTGATCATTGGGTCCTTAAAGGATGTTGATGCAAATTTTTGTTGAAGGCTGTGATATGGCTGAGCTATTAAATGTTCATCTGCTCTTACAAGAGAAGATATTAGTAAAATTCATGATCCTGAGCATTTTATGTAAAATATTGGAATTCACCTGAATTGTGTAGATATTAACCCTTTAGTGATAGGTACAAAGACTGAGAGATTAAATAAAAATAAAGCACCAGGGCCATACATAATTTTCCCCAGAGTGTAGATAAAAGAAGTTTTGCAAAATTGTTTTGTAAAATATGAAAGCCATCATAATTTTACTAAAGGGTAAACTTGTCTTGCTAATTTGATATCTTTTTTTGAGGATGTTACCTGTTATCTGGGCAATGGAAAGGATGTGGATTTGGTGTAATTAGATTTTAAAAACTTTTGATATGGAGACTTACAGAAGATTACCTAAAAAAAAATCACATTAGTATGAATTGGGAAAAGACCATTTAATTGGATTATGGGGTGGTTTGTGATTAGTGGAGTGCCTTAGAAGGCAGTGCTTGAGCCTTTGCTTTTTCTTATTTACATTAATGATATTGACAGGGGAATGATTAGTAAACTAGTAGAGTTTACTGATAGCATTAAACTCTTGGGCATTTCTAGCTGTACTGGGGATGTTAAGGCATTACAGAATGACTTGGATCATCATAGTAAGTACAAGCTAATAGACTTGGGTTATGATAAGTTAGATCTCATGTTTGATATATATAAGAACACATTCAATAGTGAGACAGGAGATAAGGGTAATGCTCTGTTGCTAGTAGTAAAGCAATACAATTTTAGTGTATTTATAGACATTTGTGTAGTTAAAAGAATAATGTATGCATTTATGGGAAACTTTTTAAAGCTCATTAAATTGTGCAAAAATTAAATTAGGAATAGGGAAGTACAAATGATGTCACTATATGTGTATGGAAAGCTTTTAAAACTTCTTTAAACTATGAAAAATGGAATTTGATGTGGGAAAGTATGGACAAAAGTCACCATGAGTGTAATAATGGTGGTGTGTGTGTGTGTGTGTAATGGAATGGTTTATCATTTTTGATCACACTATTTGGTTCAAAGTGGCTTTTGTACTAGTGGTGTTTGGTGGGTATCAAGTGTTGTGGAATAGATTAAACCCCGCTGTCATTGAGAAACCTTGCTCATAATTCTACATACTTAACCTCTTACATGAATAGTTTAAGCAGATCACTTAGCTGTTTAATTACTTTGAATACACAGCCCCACCTTTACGTTTTATAAGCTTTGTGGATTTGAATCAGAAAGTGTTTTGTACATGAAGCAGATATTATCCATTCTGAAAATAGCAAAGGAACAAAGTGAGCTCTAAAAGGAAATCAACTTAATTCTTTCTTGTTTTTCTCAATCATGTGTTATCTGAAACCTGCACACATATAGAATAAAGAATAAATCCTATTATTACATTATGAAATAGAAATGCACAACATATGATTCAAATACCATATAATCACCCTAAATCTTTGAAAAAGCTTTTCAACATGTTTTATATTGTTTTTGAAATGTTGTACCAACAATGGGACTATTCAAGTTGAAAGACTTTTGTAGACACTGAAATTTGTCTATTGCAACAAAATAGTCCTTGTACTATGATGCTCTGTGCCTACAACTTATGAGAGTTGATCTGCAATTCTGCTTGTGAACATGGGTCATATATGTTTTTTGTTTTAGACCTAAATTCATAGGTATTTAAAGTTTTAAGGGAGGCTCATATAGTAATTGCAATCAGCTGCTGTTTTCTTGAGTTACTCTTGATGACAAGCTGTTTTTTTTTTTCACTGTATCCTTTATATGGCTTGTAGTTTTTCACTACTTAAATTATACTTTCTCTTGCTTTATCAATATGGTCTAAAGCTACAATGTCCCTTTCTTCTGTGAGAAATTTCATATTGCACATGTTTTTAAATTTCATAAGTAGGAGAATATATATCAAAAAGTTGAGTTATATTCCTCCCCCCCCCCCAGAAGGAGCCCATTTTAGGCACCTTGCAAATCACTACATATAAAATGAATTTCAACAAGAGATCCACAGTGTAGTCACAGCCATATGTATAGCCCAAGGACAAGGTGACTGATTATGCATGCTGTTACCATAAATATGGACAATTTTATGTGTATTACTCACACAATAAATATAAAAGGTAGTGATATCGAACTGTTTATACACAACTTCTTGTAGACTCATCTTTTCAATTTGTACAGTAGACTTATAAAAGTAAAAGTGTCAAGAATATGGGTATGCTAAATGTAGTTACAAACTTGACATTGATCTTGATGTGCATGTATTTATGGTGATTCCTTTTTCAGGAGGTTTTTATTGTATCTGTGGCAAGAACACCCATTGGATCTTTCAGAGGATCATTAGCAACAGTATCATCTACAAAATTAGGAACTATTGTTATTGATGGAACAATAGAGAGAGCAGGTGAAAAAATTGAATTTTTTCTTTTGTTTTTAAGAAGCATTAACAGTTTTTAGTTTATTAAGTATTGAAATTTTAATTTCAAAATTGATTTGTTATGTATTCTACTAAACTGTTTTTATGAAACCATTTTGATTAGAAAGCTGTATCAAATTACATTTTTAAGCTTTACTAATTTGTTAAAAGCTGAACTGAGAATGTTGAACTTGGGCCTCAGCTTATAAAACAGCAGAATCTCCTTGCTTGAGAAATTTTATTCATCATTGGTCAAGATCTTCGATAGATTTGATGGAAATGTCACATTCATCTAGGGGGTATATATGTGTAATAAACTTAACTAGAGATCTAGCTTTAGCATTTTTTTTATTGTGAGTTATTAACTTTGTTTTGGTGGAACCAATATAACCCTGCTGACAGCAAGGACAAGTAAATTTATACACAGAAAAGAGGATTGAATAGATGAAAGTTGAAAAGGAACTAAGGCAACAGTTAGCTTTTAAAACGAATTTCAACTTTATCTGCACGTACACCCTGAGGATGACATTCTTTAGCTGTTTTTAATAATCAGTGAATATTTGCCCATGTATAGCAGACTAATGACCACAATATTTCTAGATACACTTTGCTTTTTCAAATAACAACAAAGTATTCTGTCAAAAAATGATTTGGAAACTCATTTTTACATAAGAATTCCTTGACATGTAAAAGTTCTTAATGTATACTATCATATGTGCTGGATGTTTCATAGGCACAATGAAAAACTATTTTCTCAAAATTCTCCTTAAAAACATTTTGAATAAAACTCAAAATTAAAACAAAATCCAGTGAAAGTATTTTTATGTTTAACTTCACATTTAAACTGTCAAATATTATTATTTATAAGTGTGTCCAAAATTGGAAGTTTGCGATCCTCCTGATTTTGAACAGTAAACTTAACCCTATCAGGCAATCTATGTACATTGTAAGTAGGTTAAGTAACTCTCATGAAATTTCTTTCCACAAATGAAACTAGTGGATGAAATTGTTTGAAATTTGAAACAACTTTCCTAAAAGAATGTAGTTCATAAAAAGTAAAATATTGATTTTCAATTTTTCTACTATTTCTACTAAAAATTTGTTATTTAATGTAGTTATTTGTCCTCGCATTTTGAACAGTTCACCTTTCAGGAGATTTTTCTAATTTGCAAAGTGGAGAATGGTATAAGCTTTTTCTTGGAATATATTCAGTTGTAATGTGATACGTGTATTTGGAATTTGGTCTTTTATGTGTAGAAGCTCATATATACAATCGTAGGAGTACTCAGACTAAGCTGATTAGTAGTAGAAGAAACCAAAGCTAAGATGTTTTAACTGTATGCATGTTATGTGACAACAAAACTGTAATTAGAGGTTTCTTTTGGAAAAAGGAATTAAAAACTTTGATAATATAAACTTTAAATTATAGCATACTTGGTAATGCTAAGTTTATTAAAATACATTGATAGTAAAATGGCTTAATTAAATTTTGAATGCAATTCATTAACTCTTTAGTGACATGCACAGAAAGGAGTTTGAAAAGTGCATCATCCTGAAAGGGTTAATACTGTTATGTCTTCTGTTCAAGTATTGTAAAGACGTAGGAACCTGATCAGAATTCTCAAAGATAGTAAAATTGTTGTCAACATACCTGCAATAGTGGAGAGTTTTGAATTCTAATGGGCAATTGTCCAGCCATTCCTTTTCATAAAAACACGAAAACATGTTAGCAAGAGATGAAGCTAATCTTCAACCCATAGCAACACCATCAATCTGATAATATAGTTTCTCATTAAGGAAGAATTGAGATACCTTGACAACAAAGTTGATTAGCTTCCCCCAAAAAATCATTAGAAATACTAACTTCATTGGAGTTACTATTGTAAAGTACACCAATACATAGCTATATTGTATTTTCCAATGGTATATTGGTGTAGAAGAATTTAATGTCAAAACTAGCACAGTGAACATCATTATTGGACTTCAAAATTCAAAAGCAGCTGTAATGGGGTAGAAAAAATATATCTTTTAAAAACAAAGTTTCACCACTGTTAATGTGACAAAATGTTTGTAAATGGTATATTTTTTGTCCCATTTTAGCTGTTTTTAAATTTTGTAAAGTGTGGGATACCTCCAACATTTATATCATTATCAAACTTCAGTTGTTGAATTTCTTGACAAAACTCAAAACTGTCTTTTAAGGTGTATGCATTTGTAGTTAATTCTACAAGAATGTGTACTCAAAGTCCAGCTAAAGCATGATTGTAAGTTCCAATGTTAAATGCTATAGTTCTTAAAGGAAATTCTTCTCTATAAACTTTTGGTAAGCAATAAAAAATTCCAGGATGATTCCTGAAGGTTTAATATTCCAATACTGTCTTTTATTAATTGTTACTTTTCTTCAATTGTAACAAATAACACTATAATTTAGTGTCTTATTTATCAGTAGAATCACTTTGCAACTCAACAAATTCTGAAACAATACTAAACCTCTTCACACAGTTAAGCTATTTTCCCCACTCATCTGCCTTAGAGGTTTGCATATCACTAACCTTTAGTGAACTCCCACCTAATCTCACGTGTGAATTGCTCTACTGCATAATGACATCATTATGCAGCAAAAGCCCTCCACCACTAGAAGGGTGACAAACACCCTAGTGCACTAATTCCCTCTGTGCACTTACACTCATGAATCTTCCGTCTTTTCCTTGGCACTGAATATGTCAGATGTGTTTTTTTCTTTTTCAGTTTTTCAATTTAATGAAATTTGTGACATTTAAGGTACTTAATATTATTCTTAGTTTCTACAAACTGTGAATTCAGAAGTTTGTGAAATATCTTCTATTACTTGTGTGAGTGAAGAATTTCCTCACACAGGTAATGTGTCAACTATGGCTTCTGGAGGCACTTTGATTGAGGATGACAGGATGATTATTGTGTATAGGGTAGTGGGTTCCTTTATGCAGCAAGGACATTCTGCTCTTGTCCATTCTTCAGGCATTCCTACCCCTCATTTTAGTTGGAGAATGAGGATTAAATTAATCACTTGTTTCCTCCTTCTGGTTATGCTTTGAGAACTTCTCTCCCTGCTGAAGAGAACCATCAAATTTCCTTGCATTATTAGGACTTAATATCACAGCTCTGTACCATTATTTGTCTTTCCTCTGTATCATGTGACTCTTATTCCCTCCTTCATATTCCTGACCTGACTTTTTACTTTTACCTCCTTCTCCCCCTGTACGTGGTGAGGAGACCTCCCAGGGAAGGTTCAATTACTTCCTCTGGGATCTAAACATCCACCCATGTGTTTGCTGTGCATAGCAACCCGTGAAGGGGAGGAGAGGATTCTGGTGGTTGAGTGGTGTCTGGGACACTGCAACACACCACTTTGGCCTTGAATTCCTGTAGACGGGTGGCTTGGCCCCCCCCCCCCCTGGGTCAATTAGCTAGTACCATGTGGACCTGTACCTCGCTTCCTGATCCTTGCCTGTGACTTTTCATTGAGTCATCTGAGGAAAGTGGATACTCCCGATTGGAAGTACTGTCTTCTTTTTGCCGAATATCTTTGAGCCATTCTTCTCTTCCTATTTACACAGGTGGTTTGAAAAATATGGTGACTCTATACGCTCTGCCATGGTTTGCTGTGGCTCGGTAGTTGCTCGCAGGATCCCCTCTACAGTTTCTGTGTTCACTGCCGAGTTGTATGCCATTTCTCTTGCCCTGGATCATGTAGAAGCTAGGCAGAACAGTGATTGTACTACTTACACTGACTCTCTTAGCTCTCTACTGGCCCTGGAATTGCTTAATGTTAGTTCTCACGCTGTTCTCATCGATATTCAATGATATCCATCTAGTTTTTCTGAATTCCTGGCCACGTTGTATTCACGGGAACAAGCTCGCTGACACTGCACCTAAATCCGTCTGGTCTGGCCATGCCTGTCCCATACGTGGACTATGGTCCTATCTTCATGGCATGGCTTCATGCCAGTTGGCAGTCAACTTGGAGTGAGCAATGTCATAACAAGCTTTTTCAGATCAAACCTTCTGTTGCTCTTTGGTTGTCTTGTTTCCATAAGGATTGGAAGGAGGAAGTTGTCCTGGCAAGGCTATGCATTGGTCACAGTTTTTTAACTCATCCTTTTCTTTTATCTGGTATTTACCCACCGATGTGTAGCCTTTGTGACACTCAAGTCACAATAGCCCACATTTTACTGTCGTGCCGTTGTTACAACCATAAGCGGCAGCATTATTTTCGACACGTGTTTTGTCAGAGTTTACCCCTGACATTGGACAGTGTCATTGGCAATGGGGACACCGTCCAACTTGATTGAATTTTGGACATATTTTGGTTTAACTCACTGTATTTTTACATTTTACTACAATTTACTTTTACTGTTTTTACCAGTTGTTTGGTGCAGATAGCCTAGTTGCTTTGCTCCATAAAACACCAAACAACCAAACAAACCTCCTTCTCATGATATTGGCAGTCATACTGATTCTTTCCTTGACCATCTATGTTTGCATAACCTCATGCCCCACCCTTCTCATTTATCTGATTATTATATCATAGTCATTCTGAATTCCCCAAATTTGGAAATCCCTCTTACCTGATTTGGGGTGGACTCTTTAACCCAATACTCCTGTCTTTGCCTAATCCTTCTTACTATACTTTGTTGCCTCCCCTCTATAACTCATGTCTGAGACACTTCACCATGCCCCAGAGGATTTTTTGGGTGATTCTCGTTCCATTCTCCACTATGGCCTGTTCTACTTCTGCCTTCTTAATCTCACTCTTCTATACATCTGACTTCTACCCGGCATCAGACTCATTGAGCTCCTCAGAGACAACCACATTGGGTCAGGTCCTATTGGGGCCTGTTTGTTGTGGTTTGTGCACATATGGTCACACCTTAACACAGGCAGATTGGTTACTCTAGTTCTTACCTTTTTATCCAATTCCTTCCCACCCTATCAACTCTCATCCCATT